TTTTTTAAACTTTGAGTGAAGATATCTCGACACCCACCAAGCCAAATTCGAAGAACTTTTTTTTTTTGAATTCTACAGATTCGTATAATTTAAATAAAAAAAGTTTATAAAATTTGACTTGGTGAGTGTCGAGATTACTTCACTCAAAGATTTAAAAAATTGAGTTGCGCCAAACTTTTTTATCGAAAATGTTTCGGAGATTTCGCCATTTCGGTTTCGCCAGGTTTCGGAGGTTTCGCCAGGTTTCGGAAATTTCGCCCATTCGGAAATTTCGGATTTATTTCGCCTTTGGGAGAATTTCGGTTTCGCCTTTCGGATTTTGGAAATGGATTTCGCCTGAAACACTAGTTAGCATCCGGTTTTTGGGAACCCCTAATCCTAATTACTTAGTACAGTTTTGAGATATAGCAATACTGGTGATCATCACTACCGGTAATACATGTTTACATGGTTGTAATACATAGTAATTTTCAATATCAAATTGCAATTTTAGATCGTACTCCCGCGAACATCCTTGGTGATATAAATAGACCATCTTCATTGGTTGATGATGTTTTGCTTTTCCTCATTGATGCAGAATCAAGAGAAAAATTCAAACAGGAATTTCCACGCCTGATGGAATTTTTTCGAAATGTAGAAAAATATACAAATGGTACTCATAAATGGTTTTCTACGGAAAGATATAACACATTGGGTCATAACTCTAGGGAAAATAAGCCATTTATATATGCAGGCCAAAGTAAAATTAATTTAGAGAAAAAAAAGCCTGGTAATTGGGTATGGGATACATTCGAAGAACAGGGATTTGTAACCGCTCATACTGATGGTTGTTGTGGAGGATTTAAAAATCCACTTGATTGGCGTAAAGAGGAAATAACTCATTGGTATGCGAGAGAAAAATCTAGAGATGGTTCTAAACGTATATTTCCTGGAAATCACCATTATCCCGCCGAAGCGATTTGTGATAATTACAGAATGGGGGCCAATTTTGGAAAATCTTGTCTGTTTTTAAATGGAACTAGTGAAAAGACCTCAATGGATGGCAGTGAATTTGGTTCATATTGTATGGGACAAAAAACTGTGGCACAACATTCATTAGATTGGGTTGAACAATTTATTAGACAATACCCTGAAGCAAAACGTTTCGTGACTGCAACTTTCTCGGATACTCATGTTGAGGGACATGTTCATACAGCTCTTGAAAGTGATTTTTTGAACCTGCTTGAAAAGATGATAATCGGAAATCCGATGACTGGTGAAAAACCTTTGTTGTCTAAGAATAGGTTGTTGCTTCAAATAGTTTTTTTTTTTTTGATTAAAATAAAAAATAATCCCATGATTATACTTAACATTTGTTTCCATTTTTATCCTTTATAGTGTAATTATCTTTGTTGGTGATCATGGATTACATTATGGATTTGAATTTACATTTTACGAAGGTCACTTGCATCACAAACAGCCTGTAATGATGATGTTATTTCCCACTCATTTATTGAATTCACATCCTAATTTCGAAGAATCACTCAAAGCTAACAAACATCGTTTGTCAACACATATGGATTTACATCAAACAATTATGCATCTAGTGTACGGAGGTGGTGCAGAGAGATATATGCCGAAAAACTTAAAATCTGGCGATTATAATGTATATAATCGATATATAAATTCTTTTCTTTCTGATCCAACTTTTCGTAGGAGAACCAACAATCCAAGCGCTCGTCTTGTTAAAACAGATGCTCAAATTTATGGTCAATCATTTTTAACTCCTACATATCAATATCGTAATTGTGAATCATTAAATATACCTGCAAAATTTTGTCCATGTTTTGATTACTCAATATATAACTATAATGATTCCAATCAAAGAGAACTGATCGATAAAATATTAAGCAAAACAGTAAAAGAAATAAACAAATTTTTAAACAAAAATCGATTAGATTCTGTATGTAATACTTTCAAGTACAACACTAAAAAAGTATCAAACCACTCGATATCGTTTAGTAGTGGATTCTTTAATCGTAAACGAGGTATTTCTCATATAACTGTAAAGGTAAACAACTTTGACTCGGAATTCACGATAAGTACATCTTTGTCTGATTCACCAAAAATTGATTTAAAGAAGGATATATTATTACATGAAATTATATTTAACTCAGAATGGAACGTATGTAGTAAAAGAATAATTGATTCATTGGGTGGACATAGTAAGACTTCAATAGTGAAAAAAATTAAAAATCTTGGAAATGTTGCGAGAAAATTTTGTTTTTGTACAAACCAACTTTAATTCTAGTTTTAATTTAAATTTTATTTTTTATATTATAACCAAGCTTTAATTAATATATGGTACTTAAGATAGATATTTATACTTAACTAATAGATTTATCTTAATAGAATAACAGCATCATAAGTACAAATTTTAATTAAGTTACCCTTTATTTTTATTTATGAATACCAAAACAAGTGTTTGTGGGGCGCCGCTGGCGCCCTTTGATACAATTTAATTAATAATAGTATAATTTTATAATTTGTTATTATATTATAATAAATATAATGTTTTTTTTTGTTATTATTTTTATAGTTATAATAAGGTATATATAGTATTATATGGGGTTTGCTTGGATAAAAATTAAGCTTGGTATAAGTTCTTGTTCGTATGTAAATATTTTATCGATTTAATAGTTTATTATGTAAATTACTATATTAATAAGGATAAAAGGGATTTTATACAAACAAAAACTTATACTTGAATTTGTTTTGTTTAAATTAACTTGATTAGAAATGTTAGAATTTTCAAGGTAAAGATGATTTAGTTTTGTGAGTAATACTAATTGTCAAAGAGTTAAGCAATCGCTGTAACGATTACTATCTAACCCAGACGGTTTATATTACTTTCGGTCTCGCTTGGCAACTAGAGACAAACACCTTAATACGACGCACTACGCACTTCACAACACGTTTGTATTTACTTAATTTCCAGTCGAAAAAGACTGTTTAATTCTTTATTTACAATTTACTATTATGCATTCAAGCAATTACATATTTCGTATTACACTTTAACTATTTCTTTGTTATTAATTTATTAAACTTTCCATTGTTCCCAGCAAATCGTCACATTCATGCATCGGTGATCACGGTACCTATTGTACCCGATCTTGCATGAGCCGCCCCACATTCGATTTATCTACGACTCCGATCGATCACGTGGTCACGTGAATCGATCGATTCGTTCTTTCGTTGAGCCCTCTTACTTCCCGATTCACTAATAAATTCAGTATCAATTTGTATACCTTTCACTAGGTATATAGGGTCATCGGAAACTACGCGACACTAATTGATAAGAGACGTGTATGGGATTTATAGGAGATTTGAAATGTGATTTTAGTAATGAGGTTGCGTAGTATAGGGTATAAAATACGGATTCCCTTATGTCAAGAAAATCCCGAGCTAAGGATCTATAAAAATTGCAGGATCTTGCAGATCTTGCAGATCTTAACGTAAATCTAAACAAACGCCAAAAATAAAGAAATCATAAATAACGCAAAATTTTACTATGACAATCGGCCTTTATTTCTAAGTAAAAAATGCGTAGCATGAAATTTTACTTATAGGAAGAGTTTTTTATACTAAAAATAACAATATATATATAATATTATCAAAATTGTGTGTTACATCGGATGTAGATCATTTTCTTGACATAAGGAAATCCCGTGTAGCATTACAGTAGTAACAACAGGGGTAAGTTCGCAGTATCCCTGAATATCCCGTGGTAGTACGTAAAACGGTCATAGGGATATCGGGATACAATTTCCAGGTAACAACACAATGGGGTGACAATTAGATTCATACATTTAAATTTTAGATTTGCTCTGGAATACACACTGGATTGGACACCAGATTATACTTCAAAGTATGCTCTGATTTATACTCTGGGTTGTAGAAGATTAATACTCCAGAGCTTAATTACGGAGTTTGATCTGTAGTGGTGTACTCCAGTGTGGTGTAGTTTTGGACGTTATTCTGGCACTACACCACCCTGGAACACTCCGTTAATATACCTAGTTTATTTCCACACCCTGTAGATCACCTTTTTTAAAACTTTGATAAGATATCTCGACAACTACCTGATGAAATTCGACAAACTTTTTTATTTGGATTCTGTGGATCCATAGAATTCAAACAAAAAAAAATTCATCAAATTTCGTCAGGTAGTTGTCAAGATATCTTCAATCGAAATTATAGAAAATTTTGCTGCAGCTTATGTTTTGAAAATTTTTTAAAACTTTGATCGAAGATATCTCAACAACTACATAATGAAATTCAATGAACATTTTTTGGTTGAATTCTGTAGATTTATAGAAATTAAACAAAAAAAAGTTTATTGAATTTTATCAGGTAGTTGTCGATATATCTTCGATCGAAGTTATGGAAATTTTATGTTTTGATAAACGGTTAAATTTTTTTAAAAATCTTGATTGAGGATATCTCGACAACCACCCAATGAAATTCGATTACTTTTTTTTATTTGAATTTCTTGAATCCATAGAATTCAAACAAAAAAAAAGTACATTGAATTTCATTAGGTAGTTGTTGAGATATCTTCGATAAAGTTATGGAAAATTTTGCCGCGGCTTATGTTTTTATAGACGTTTGAAATTTTTTTAAAATTTGATCGAAGATATCTCGACAACTTCCTGATGAAATTCAATAATTTTTTTTTTTTATTTGAAATCCATGAATTCGCAGAATTCATGCAAAAAAAGTTCATCGAATTTCATTAGGTGGTTGTCAAGACATCCTCAATCAGAGTTTTAAAAAAATTTTAAACGTCTATCAAAATATAAGCAGCGGCAAACTTTCCATAACTTTGATCGAAGATATCTCGATAAACTTTTTTTTTAATTTCTATAAATCTACAGAATTAAAACAAAAAAAAAATTCATCGAATTTCACTATGTAGTTGTCGAAATATCTTCGATCAAAGTTTTAAATAGGGTTATTTTTAATCAAATCAAAAAATAAACAGATATTTTTAAAATAGACTATATATAGCATTATTTATATTATATAGTTACGAATATATATTTTTAGCTTTGAAACACTAATGTTTTTTTTTTTTAGTTTGTATACATAACAATTCGGTAAACCGGATCTACTGTAAATAAATAAATTATAGTTAAAAATACCTTTAATCGCCTTTGAAATTAATTTTGTGCTAATAATCTTGCTAGTGTACATTTCATCAGGATGCTTTGGTATCGGCAATGATTTAATAACTTTATCAGCATCTAAGAATTGTCATTATCATCGGAACTAGCTATCTTCTTAAGCCAACTCGATCTTGTTTCACGAATATCATAAGCACTAGGCCGTTTTTGTGGATCAGAATTCATGCATTTCTCAGCCAATTCAATATAGCATTTAGGAATTTCAGATGCAAACTCTCGTCGCAGTCCTTCGAAAATCTTGACTGCAAGTTTTGTATCAAATTCATGACCATCAAAAGGTCTTTGACCAGTCGACATTTCAGCCATAATAACGCCAAATCCATAAATATCTGCTGCTTTTGTAAACTGCTGCTCGCCTGATAAAACTTCAGGAGAAACATAGGACATAACTCCATAAATTTCTATGAAGACTTCCATTATCAGCATACTGAAATACCATCAAATAATCTTTTGTTTCTGTGTTTTGGGTTACTCCATATATTGCGAGCCTACAGTACATAAATTTACATTCCATAAGACTTTTAAACTTAAAGTTTAAACAATGAATTAGCTCAATAAACTATTAAATAAATTATCAAAGCAATAAATTAGTTTACTTCTTTTAAAAAATTATTGTTTCCTTATAACTGAGTGCAACGATGCTGGATGGTTCATGATCTTTTGCAGGAATAGTTGTCATCAACTTTAATTTCTTCAACTTTACGTATGCCATCCAACCAGGTTGCTGAATATACAAAGCCAAATCCTCCTTTATCAGTTTTTTTAACATCAGATAATTTATCAAATGGAGTGCACCTTCATAATTCCAGGTTCTAAGTTGAAATTCTTTCATACAATTATCAATATCTTTATTTTCACTTGTTCACCTTGTTTCTATGCTAGGGTCGCATGATAGGCACCATATTGGTTCCGTGTTATTTTCATTACAATGTACACATTTTCCATATTTAGCGTTTCTATATAATATATAATGTTTATTTCGCATCTGCAGTTTTAAACTTTATATCGAATGAATGTAAATAATTTATACGTACTGACTAAATGAATTATTTGTACATGATCTTGTTTTGTGAACTTTTTTTACTGTTTTATTTCTAGAAGTTATTAAATGTTCTTTATACTCACCGACTAAATTAATGCGAATGAAATGATTTGTACGATATTGTTTTGTGAACTTGCTTTTTATTTCGTAAAATATTAAATGTTCTTTATACTCACGGACTAGATTAATGCGAATGAAATGATTTGTACGTAATGGTAATAAGTATTTATGTTCTTGTTTTGTGAACTTTATACTTACTCTCTAATAATTAAAAATTTATAAAAGATCTCAATTTCAAATAAAGAAATTACAAAATATTATAAAAATTAACTCACTTCCTAAACCATTCCAGAAATTTATCAAGATTTTCCTCCACGCCAATTCCATAGAGGTAACAAATGGCAGTTTTCCAAATTCCATTCAAATTACCAGCCTCAGCAGACTTCAAATAATATTTAAACGCTTTATGCTTACGATTTCCTAAATAACAATAACCAACTTGATAAACTCCGCTATAATTTTGATTTTTTATAATATTTGAACGCTTTTTTTTATTTATTTAATTTTTTTTATAATCCTTATCTATATTTTGTTTTCATCCTTTCCAACTCCAATTCCATATTTGAGACAATAACCGAGCCAGAAAATTCCGTCTGGATCGTATCTGCTAATTTTTGACAATCATAGAAATTCGGTCAAATTTTCGTTTGATTAAAAAAAAATGCAGTTCAGCCTACAAAACATGGTAGGTATTATTTATTGGCAAATTTTATAGCTAGCTAACTAATATGCGTGCATGTCGTGTGTGTACTGACCAGTACATACATAGTACATACATGCACGCATTACTACGACCAACAGCTTTAAAAAAGAATTCAAGTCATTTTTTTTATATAATAAACTTTCATTATAGTGAATCTCTTGTTATAGGAAATTTTATTATAATAAATTTACTATAATACAATATGACTCTCAATATAAGTCAATCTACTGTATTTATAATTAAATAATTTGGTTGTGAGATTTTCTTCATTTTAAGAGTCTTTTAGTAAATTCTATATATTAA